GTTATAGTACTGTATCTGTACAGTAAAGAGACGAGTAAAAGTACTGTATCTGTACAGTAAAGAGCAGAGTAAAAGTACTGAATCTGTACAGTAAAAAGCAGGTAAAAGTACTGTATATGTACAGTAAAAAGCAGAATAAAAGTACTGTATCTGTACAGTAAAGAGCAGAGTAAAAGTACTGTATCTGTACAGTAAAGACCAGGTAAAAGTACTGTATATTGACAGTAAATGTCAGAATAATAGTACTGTATATTGACAGTAAAAAGCAGAATAAAAGTACTGTATCTGTACAGTACAGAGCAGGTAAAAGTACTGTATCTGTACAACAAAAAGCAGAGTAAAAGTACTGTATCTGTACAGTAAATAGCCGAGTAAAAGTACTTTATCTTTACAGTAAAGACCAGGTAAAAGTACTGTATCTGTAAAGTAAAAAGCTGAATAAAAGTACTGTATCTGTACAGTAAAGAGCAGAGTAAAAGTACTGAATATTGACAGTAAAACGCAGAATAAAAGTACAGTATCTGTACATTAAAAAGCTGAGTAAGAGTACAGACCACACAGGAGCTGACTCGGGTAATTCTGTGGTAAACGGCGAGCTGCTGGCAGAAATCTGAGCGGTCAAAGCTTAGGAGTTAATGCGTTATTGGAGGTCCGGGTTGACCTCAGAGAGCGGCGGCACGCCCCGGAAACGTGGCGGCCTCCGCAGCTAAGTGTTGCTCTCAGTTACCTCAAACGGCTTTGTTTTTACCGACATCAATCCCACTCATTTGTTTCCTAATCCTCTCATTTGGCCGACAAACTCCACGAGGGGTTTTAGTGGCCGTTCAGACTGGGAAGTTGAGATCAATTACAAATTTTAAATCCTCTATTTTCCTCTGGGAAGGAGATCAGACCCCTCAAAGCCCGAGGAGAATTTTTATTTCTTCAGTCTGACGGCGGTTAGCATTTTTCTCTGATATTTTCTCTTAGCAGATGATGGATTTTACCGGGTGCCAGATGTCCAACAGGCTTAAAATCAGAGTTTTTTTGTGTTTTTTTAACCCCATCTCGTGTCGTGGCTCCGCGTTACTGCTGGGATTATCGGCCATGTTCCTCCTCTGGGGGACGGCTCCGTTAGCATCTGTTAGCATCACCACAGCAGGTGCTAATGCTAATGCTAACGCTAATGCTAAGCTGGACAGATAGCTGCACGAAAATCAGGGCAAAAGACGTCGTTTCTAACCGGTTTGTGCTGCTTCTAACCATCTAATTCAGGGGTGCTCACACTTTTAAGTTAAAATGATCTACCCATTATATTTATTGAGAAATACATTGAGGATTCTTACAACTTATGTTGATGTATAACCACATATTGATGTATAACCACATATTGCAACGGTAGACTGGCAGACGAGACTTTGAAACGCACTTTGAAAATGTCATTGTGAAAAAAAAGTCCTCCTCCAATTCCGTATGAAAGTGATACGTTTTTTTCTTCTTCCAGCCCCCCCACTCATTTTCATAACCTATCTTACGTTTAAGAGGAAAAAAACGAGCGAAAAAATTAGGATGTAACTAAGGACTAGCTTGTTAGCTTAGCTGCGCACGGTGACCTAATTGTACGGAAAAAATAATCAGATGTCATCTGACTGGTTGTCCTGTGTATCAATCAAGTGACGGGACGGCTGATAGGCTGACGTCTAGTTTTTATTCAAAACAACTCGACTAATTATTCATCCAGCTCACTTAAATACAATCGCAAAGGTCAAAGGTCAATTCCATCCGACACAATCCTAATACACACCTACACATCTTTGGGTATACATTTTGGAAAAGAACCATCTCAACAATCAGCTACCCGCCCTATCTGAGTTTTTCAACACCTAGAAGGACTTTTAAAGCATGCAACAAAATGAAACAAAAATAAAGGTTTAAAATACATTTTTCCTCTTTAAGAGTGAAGACCAAAGGATCTTAAAGTTCCTTTGCAAATTGTACTGAAAAGGAGGAGAAAGATCTGATGTTTACACGTCACAGAGTAATACTGAAAAGCAAAAACAATCTAGTGAAACTCGTGTTTCATTAAATATAACCATCTTTGTATGAACACCATTTAATTTCTGAGACGATAGCTGCATTATTATCAGAAATTGTGTTAAACCTGCAATAATCTGCTGTTTTTTTAGGTTCTCTCAATGTAAGAAGTTGATAATCTCTTTGAAAATTGGGAGAAAAACAGATTTACTCATCCAGAATTGAGAATATAAACAGATTTTGCATTGTTCAGCTTTGACATCTGCAAAAGTGACCGCCTCCTGATCGGGTCATTGTCAGTGACCAATCAGAAGAGGCCGGATTTTCCAACAAAGCTTCTGTTTGTACAAGAAGCTCCAAAAGAGGCGAAAGCAAACTGGACTCTGACGGCTGTTTCACAGGCCAGACTCGTCCCGACAAGTTTGTTAGTTTAAGATATTTCAATAGTATAACTCATACGTTTTCTGAGTGTGACCATTTAAACTCCACTAATAAAGAAAAAACACAAGATAGCAAAGGAGAAATAAGGTTAAGGTTAATAAACGAAGTTGAGAGTTCAGCTCACAGCTTCTGATCTTCTGAGTCTTATATCCATATTTCTATTCTCACATCTATATTTTTAAAGATTGTGCTTTTTAGTTTGATATTTTCTGCTCTATATTTCTATTTCTACATTGTATTTCCTTGCTTATCATTGAAGTGTTGTGCACCAAACACCAAGGCAAATTCCTTGTAAATCAAAAACCTATCA